AATGCAAAAAAAAAACTCTGAAATTCTATACCACTCTCGACAACAGAACAATTCCTTTTGGTCCCAAAAATATTATATTTACAACAAAAAAAGAGCGTTCATGACCAGCAGGCACTTGATTGCAGTTCATTTTGTAAAATTTTGTTAGGAAGCTTTAAAAAGTAAAGATTGAAAATGAATAATTGCACTGTACGCACAAATTTGTGATGTTGAACCTTTTCAGAAAACTATAAAATTTCTCCGTCCTAAACTTGATCACATTTCCGACGAAAAAATAAAGTTCACGACCAGGCCCTCAATCTTAACTCATTTCGTAAAATTTTGTTTCAAAGCTTGATAGTCAAACTCAAAAACAAATACTGTATTAGCACTGCACACACAGTTTTGAAATGTTTATCTCATGTCCAGTAATTTCTTTGTTTGTTTTTAAAAAAAAAATGAAATCTTTCCTTAGAAAAGGACAAATTTTCCGTCTTATGAATGAAATACTGTATTTTCTGGGGGAAAAAAGTCGCCACAACCAGGCATTTTCAGAATATTTTTGTAAATCATTATATACCAACTCGAATATATTTATCTATATATAATCATACCCTACGAAAAGCGCTTGTCTCATACCTCGACGAGGAAGTGGATTGTTTCTTCGTCATCTTCCAAATGGAATATTTATTTAAAAAACATTTTGACAACGAGACTTTTGTTGCTTATCTAAGAGTTTTTACAAGTCTTCCTGGAATAAAGCTCAAATGCAAATACTTGTCCATCAAAAGTTGCCAAGTTGTATCTTAAATGTCAAATAAATAAATTCTGTATCCCAATTTTAAACTTAATTTACAGAATTATGTCGGAAATCGTTACAGTTAAATAACAAATGAATGCGTATGCATAAAAAAATGTCGAAGTTATTTGATCTATATCAGATAACGATAAACAGAACTGTCAAAGATGGAATCCCGCGTATTCGTAAGTACAGTATATAGTTGGTAACCATGGACAGACCTTCAATCGTATACAAAATGAATTCCAGCCTATATAGTACAGGGGGGCAGATCCCAAACAGATGGCATCGTCGATAAAACGGAAATAAAATCACCCGGCCTTTACTGGGAAGCAATAAAACCGGAGTTAAATACAGGTAATGCCAAAAGCACTCCAAGAAATTTATTACAGGTACTGGTACTTATTTCCTGCAAGGCTTGCATTCCTCTCGCAATTCGTCAAACAAGCCATGAGAATGACACATAACTGGTTCCAAAATAACCGAACCAAGTACCGTGCTAAAACTAAAAGGAAAAAAAATCGAGAAACAATGCGAATACCATCAGCACATGACTCAAGGAGACTGAAGTTAATTAGACCTTTGAAGTTATTTCGAAGCCCTAAAAGTATCGTGGGCATTACAAAAAACCTTGATGATATCCATTGTGATCTCATGTCCTGCATATTGAAGACAAAACCGAGCTTCAAACTTAAGAGTGATGGTTTTCAAAATATTCACTTCAAATTTTACTATTGTTCTTGCATTCCTAAATGTTTACGGAACAAGAGACAAATTAATTATGAGGGTGAATTTAAAAGAGGGCAAAACCTTAACCAAAAGAACTGGAATCTAGTCAAATTTCCAACCGAATGAAGAGAAGCTTTCCTCGGCCATGAAACATTTTCCGTTACATGCGTTTCGATTCCTGTTACGTTTTTTTTTTTATAGAAAATACTGTACTTTGCTGCGTAATTGCAGAACGATTGTTTCTCCTTCCTGAAACGTTATTATCCCAGCTTGCCAACAAATTACTAACCACAATCAGATCTCTCGGTTGCGCGGTGTTCTTCGAAATGAGGCCCATCACGCAAAAAATGTTGAACGTGACGAGTGTTCTCATGGGTGTTAAATGGGAAATCGTTCGATTTTGCACTTCAACCACGTAATCGTTGGCAAAGCAATACCGCAGAAAACTTCCGCTTTTGCAGACGGTTACAATTTTTATGAGCCATATAAAAGCACTTCAGGTTTCAGAGAAAACTTGAGCCAATTCAGCTCATGAAGAGTTTTTACGCCCGTTTTAAACGCACAAAGGTCTGCAATAAAACTGATGACAGGCCAAGAAAAACAAATTGGAAAGTCCGGAAATCAGGATGGTCCCTGATGAAAGTACTGTACAAAGCAGAATAACCCATATCCAGGATTCAAATATTGTATTATGACCATGCATTCGATCAATCGGAACCAAATACTGTGATTCCATTCACCGGAAGGATACAAAATGACTCATTAATTCAAATTTGAGCCTCTTTCTTTTTTTCCTTTGTGATGTAATTGACTCAAATCTTATGTGAAAATTTTTGCAATGTTCAATACTGAGGTTTTCATCAATACGCCCTACTATTATTTCACAGTTCAATCTTTTTACTCCGATGTCGTTGAATTGCTGTTACTTTATTTTAGTTGTGTCAAGTGAAAAAAATGTTCATTATTGTGCATCAATTATCCTTGATACAGACTGAGTTTATCCAAGAAAACTAACTTCTAGATTCGTGAAAATACTGTATTTGAAATATCACGTCAGGTCATTTTTTTATCGTTTCATTCATATGATGAAATTTGTAAGATATTCGATTAACTGGGTAAAGACATCGTGTCGTTACCGAGACAATGGGTTCCTTTAATCAAAACGGTTTCAAGACGACGTGTTTGTACACTGATAATTTCAATTCGGGTTGGATATACGGTAATTACCTTGTCGAGAATGATTTTGCAGGGCTTTGCTGTCTCGTCGAAGTTCTGCTGTTGACCGAGTCGCTGCATGAAACCCGAGAGAAGCTTCTCGAAACTCGCGGATCGCACTGCAAGTTCTTCTTGCGCGATAGTCACGGTCTTTTTCTCGATATTGTTGTTGGTGATGGTGTTGTTATTATTAATGTTGTTGTTGTTGTTATTATTGTTGTTGATGTTGTTCGTGGTGATGGCGGTGGTCGTGTCGGTGCTAGCTTGCGATTGCACAGACTTCTCTTCATCGGCATCATCGAGATCCGAACGATCTTCTTCAATAGCACTGTCCTGGGACACGTAATTATCCTGGTGAAAAAAATATTAAAGTTTAAAAAAAATTTCCACTTTCTCCTTGGGTTACGAAGATGCAGTCGAACCCAGATTTAGTGCCACCAGGTGTCCTCCTGGCACATTTTTGTGGCACTAAATCGAGAGTATTGTACGCGAGAAGAAGGTTCAGTTGAGGGTTTCTACCGCAGGAAAAAATAGCTTATTTACAGAATTATTTGGCCACCAGGTTAGTTTTATAAGAGAACAAGCACAAGGCATAATTTTAAGCTCAAAATTACTATTTTTATACATATTTTGTCTAGTGAAAGAGAAGATCTATAGTATTTCTTGAATTTTGTTTCTATTTGACTTTTATATCAGGTACCTCTATGCACAAATCACCACTGGTTCAAGTTAAGCTCCAACTTCATTCACGAAAATTTGGATTAAGAAAGGTTTCCTGCAAAAAAAAACTATTTTCAATTATGCAAATCCAGAAATAGCGTGATTAAAATCATCCTGAGTTTTTATGCGAGCATGATGGGCACGTGATTATGAGTAATAAGCCGATGACATCCCTGGAAAAAGTCCTTAATATCTTCACTTTTGGCCCATTTTTCATCTAACACAAGATTTTTGTGGTACTCGGTGAGTTGGCACTAAAGTGCGGTTTTCCCATAAGAACACAACAAAGGGAGATACAATATGTTCCAGGGACATTTGCGGTGTCATATGAGGCGGTGGCACTAAATCGATGGTTGACTGCAATCACAGTATCTAAAAAAATCTCCCGGATGGAATTTGAAAAGGCATCACGTGCATTTTTGTTTATGTCTTTTGGTCAGACTGTATTTTCTCAACCATCAATTACCCTGATGGAAATTCGCAGATTTCTATTAGTAGCAAGATACACTTTTGCAGTACCTGATGCTCGATGCAGCTACGGGGCTGAGACAGTGGCAGGTCAGAGGACTGGGACAAGGCTCCAGCGTCTTCTGATCCAACATCCTGGTGTTGCTTGGAAACTTCCTCGTTGACGGAAACCACACTGGCCGGCAGGACTCTGTGAACCGTCGTTGATGATCCGGAATTCGATCTGCACAATATGCGATTTAAGAAAATAAAACAGTCCTCACAACGATGAACGTTACGTAATCCAAAACAATTTGACGCGACCAGAGGAAATATAGAAATTACGTCCTTTCCGAGTGGCTAAAATAAAATAAAATTGTCCGGATTTGACGCGAGTATTCTCTTGGTTATCTTTTTTTTTTTTTTACCTCGTAATATTAATTTGAGCCGTTTCAAATCCCCTTGCAAGATTTGCGGGAATGTTCGAGTTAAATACTTCAGTCATCACTCAGCCATTTATGAACCTTTACGAGCTGGAAAAAATCTCAGCAGTTTCTAGCAATATTCCTTCAACGATAAAAAAAAAAATCATCAGTAAACCGCAAAACTTGATACGAGTAAATACAACCGTATTTACTCGAGTACGACGCGCACCTTATTTCTCAAATTTGAGCGAGGAAAAATGGGGCTGCTTTTTTAAGGCGGGACATTTTTCAAAAAAAAAAGTTTAGAAAATGTAGGCGCGCATTATACATTTATACTTTATTCTAATGGGAACATTTGGACCAAGTTCAACATAAAAACCTATTTCAATGGAAAAAATTGAAAATTAGTCAAATTCATGCTCAATTCATGTCTAAATTCAAATGAGCGTGTTCTTTATTTTTAAAATGTTGTACTTTTAGAGTTAATAAAAATGGGGTGCTCATCTTACTATAGATAGAAATTTTTTTTAGTACAGTATTTTCAACTGAAAAAGCTAAGGGCATGTCTTACTTGAGGGCGCGTGGTACTCCAGCAAATCAAGGGTATATACAAGATGAAGTAAAGTATGGTTGAAAACAAACCATCTCATGATGCAATTCATTTTTAGAGCAGCTCAAAGTTATATTTTATTAATTTTTTTGTGGAAAAGAAGGTTCAACGTGGGCTATTGTTGTGCACTATAGGGGGGGGGGGGTTTCTTCGTTTCTCTGGAAAAACCCGAGTTCGTTACTTGTATTTGAAAGGTTAGTGACACAGTAATAGTACGTCGGGTTTCGTTGTATACGAAGCACCATCGAATACAGAATCGTGCGTTATTATTCCTCCCGACCCATATACCCACCTCGCAATAGCAGCCAGGGTTTGCTGGAAGGCCACAGCGGGGTCGTCGAGTCGGTGACAGCTGGAGTCGACGCGGAAGGAGTTGACCGGGGACAGGGGGCCCAGTGGGCTCATGAGCAAACACGGCGTCGAAATGGTCATGACTGGGGTGACGAGACTCGGCGTGGACAGTGTCATGCTGGGCATGAAGAAGTGGGACGAGCGGAGCAGGGACGGCAAGGACGGCGGCTTCGACGGCGGCTTGTAGAACGGCAACGCCGGCATGGACGGCGGCTTCGCGGCCAGCTTGTACAGGTTCTTGCGGCGCCTGTAGCTGCGGCGAGTCAGCCAGGGGTGATGCAAGCACTCCTTCGCTGTCGGTCGTTGGCTAACGGCGAGGATCAAGAAGAACACGAAAAAATGGAACATTAATTTCCAGAAGCTTATCGTCCGCGGCATTTGTCTTCTTTTGATTATTTCATCCCATTCCTCGAAATGAA